CAGAAGCCATCAAATCTGAAGATTTTTGGACTACAACCCCCAGTTTCCATATCATGTGGAAGCATTCTGGGAGTTTTAGTCTTGGTAAGTACATTTTCCAAGTTCCGACCCTGTGTGGACCACCAGCCAGTCCTCCCCGGTTTCTTCTGATGAATCAAAAGGCTGTCATTCTTCCCACTGACCTCTTTCTTCCCTAATGCTATCAGAGGAAAGCAAGGCGAGTATTAGATGGCATTCTCTTGCATATTTTTAAGGGTGGCTTTCAACGGAGGACACGCCTTTGTTTGAAGGGCTGTCACAGGGCAGCTACTCTTTCGAAGGTGTGCTCCATTTGGAGGGCTGTTCAGTCCACCCCTGATTCAAAGACGAAGAACTATAATGCAGAAGGGGATACGCAGCCTTGAAGCTGCCTATTTAGCAGTACCTGGACAGGGTGGATAACACAATCAGTGATTTTTCTGAAATAAACATGATTTAAATCATGATTTAAATTTTAAAAATTGATTATTTTTTTACTTATATCATCCCTCCAAAAAAATCCAATTTTTAAAATTTAAATTGTGATTTAAACCTATTCCGCCCTATATTTGGACTCAACAGGCATGTAGGCTACAGTCTCTTCCATTCTGATTAAAGGTACTGTACAGTGATTCTGTTTCAATGACAACTATTGTGTCTAATTCTGCATCTGTAACTACAAATTAGCACATGCGGTTTTATGCAAATCAGTGACCTCCTTTTTTGGCAATGCATGCTGTGTGTGTTCACTGGAAAGAGAGCAGATTTAAAGCTTTTCCATCCTCAAAGCAGTCTGGCTGGGGATAATGAGCACTGTAATCCAGCAGATCTGGAGGATACAAGGTAGGAAAAGCTTATCTAAAAATCACCTAATTGTGCTGCTTAAGAGGCTACTTACACTGGCAAGCATGGAAACTCTTTTTGTTAGGTAAAAGGTTCCCCATCACATTTACTCCAGTCGTGTCTGACTCTAGGGTGCGGTGCTCGCCCTGTCTCTTAGCCGTAGAGCCAGCGTTTGCCCGAAGACAGTTTCCGTGGTCACGTGGCCAGCGTGACTAGACATGGAACACCGTTACCTTCCCATCGTGATGGTACCCATTTAATTACTCGGATTTACATGCTTTCGAACTGCTAGGTTGGCAGGAGTTGGGACAAGCGACAGGAGCTCACTCCATTGCATGGATTCGATCTTACGACAGCTGGTCTTCTGACCTTGCAGCACAGAGGCTTCTGCGGTTTAACCCACAGCACCACCATGTCGCCCTTTTTTGTTAGACCAGACCACAATGGGTCATACAGGTTTTTGTTTTGAACAGCAAGCCGTAATCTAAAGCCATTTCTAAAGGCTGAATAAAACATTTCAAGCTGAGGATTGGAGTGGGGTGTGTTTTTTTCTCCTGTTTTTTAATAAATGAAAAGAAACCATTTATCAACAATGGCTTTAACGACTGTGTAATGCAAATAAAAAATTAGTGGTGTTCACTTAACATGATATGGCTTGCTCTATTTGGAAAAGTCATGACTCAGTTTCCACGTATTAACCAATGGTTAAGATTAATGGGCCACTGTAATAAGCTGTCCCAACACTTCACAATGCAAGAAGCAGTACTAGTAGCAAAAGTCTTGGAATTTCCCCAAAGTTTATCCTGTTGTAACAATGACCAAGCAGGTCCATGTTGGCTGCTAAAGACTCCCTGAATGAAAGGAACAGGCAAATACATTTGGAGTGGTGGGGATATTTGAGTTTCCAGGCTAAATTTTACATTACATATAAAATCATCACTAGAAAAGGAAGTTCCTTAACTGTTGAAACATCTGCTTATCTCAACATAGAAGCTCTTCATACCACCCAAAGTTTGCAAATTAGTTTGCTATATTTTGTGATTTGTTTTTTGGGAAGTAAACATGGACCCATTCAGCCAGTTCAATTTTTCAGACCTGTAGGTTTCCTGGAATCATGCCTCTGGAACACCGACATGATCTGAGCTAGAACAACAGGTTACTTATAATGCATAGTTTGGCCCTAGGAAGCAACGTTTAGACCAGAAATTCAGCAGGTACACAAGTTACCTGTTCACAGTCTTTTCTGATGGAGTGAGATGCATTCCAATTCTTTTGACATTATAAAAATCACATCTCATCTTGCATCCGCATATATAAATTAACTCATACAGTTTTATGCAAATCGGTGTTCTCTTTTGTCCACCTTTTCATTGACCTATGTTCTCTTTTTGGTGACATACAAGGGTGGTCATTCTGTTGTGCAATCGAGCTTTAGCTCTCAACTGGGGCATCAGCATGAGAGCAAAAGGTCATTCCATGGCCCCAGTTCAAACCACTGGTATCCCTATAGCTGCTGCAGAGAAAAAAGGAGAGAGATATATTGTCTTGTTGATCGTTGCTAGATATCAAATTATATATTGCATTATAGGTAACCTGTCATTCTAGCTCTGATCTTGTCAGGGTTCCAGGAAACATACAGATGTGATTCCAGGAAATGTACAGGTCTGAAAAACCAAACTGGCTGACATGCAGCTCTCTGAGCTTCTTGAAAGAAGTGGATAAAAGGTAATAAATAATTTCCTAGCATGGAAATGATATGATCGGGTGAAAGCATCATCCACCACGTTAGATCAGGCCGACTACTGGGGAATCCAGACTAACCTTTCAAGCGCGGAGTCTCTAAAAAGAATTGCCGATCCGACTGACCACTTACAATCTCTTAGGTTTTTAGCAGCTTCTCTCTCTGCACATTTCTCAGTTTTCACCAGAGACATCGCTATACATTAAAGGAGTCATGAACCTGCTGGCACGTTGTATCACAGAGCAACGAGCCCTGCTTATCCAGGTTGCAGCATGCTCACCCGAGCTTGAAAGTTTTATTCTAGTTTTATATAGGCCACCAGTTCAGCCAGGTAATTAGCTGCTCGAATGCTGTGCACACCTCCATGAGGTGCACCTGCTCCGTGCATAGATTAACAGCAGCAAAGGAGAACCTTGAGGGTCAACTCACTTAACGTGCCCTGAGAATTAAAACTGACTAAGCAAGAGCATCAAAAGCAGAGCTTAATACACCCCAAATCCCCACCACAGTACAACAGGGGAGGGGACGCACTTTTCTTAGGTTTCTAAGACAGCTTGCAACCCACCCTCATGGGCTGATTTTTTTTTTCTCCAAAGAGAAATCTCTGCAGGAGTCAGAAATTTGGATGGTTACTTTTAGGGCTATGACACCCAAACCAGCTTAGCCTGTGGTGAGTTATGAGGAGTCGTTGTACAAAAAGCATATTTTGTAAATTGTGGTGGGATTTTAGCGAAGGAGTCGGAGCGGCGGCAGGGAGATTGGAAGAGAATGTAGGAAATCTAGACAGGCTGCTAAGAGAGGGTGTTGCCGGGCAGAAGGTTCTAAGTGCTCCCAGTTAAAAGGCACTAAAAGCCAGCAGTTCCATTTGAATTTTCTATGGTATGGAAAAAGTGGCTGGGGAAACATAGGGAAGACTTAGAAACTAAAGATGAAATAGTCTGGACACCCAATAAAATTCCATGAATGCAGCTGGGCAACTGCACAATTCATTTATTATAATCCCACCTCATGCTGAAATATATCTGCTAGTCTTACAGGTTCATCAAGACTGCTCTTTGCCTATTTAGTTGGACTAACACAAACTAACACAGTTCCATTTTTGAAAACTGCACAACAAAATGCACTTCTGAAGAAATCCATAGT